CCATCAATCACTGATAACACTAAACTGATGAGCGGTAAAAACGTTTAAAGTGTCGCCTATGGCCAATTTTGGCTGCCGTCGTTTTCTGCGATGTCGCGGGTGCGCGCAATTTTAAAGCTTGACATGTTTGGTGTCTATTTAACCGACGTGACCTGATCTTTTATATTTGACCAAAAAACTGGGTAATAATAAATGTTTCCTAACATAATGTTACAAAAAACGTTTTTTTTTCAAAATTTTCAATAATTTTTCCTAATTATAATAAAAAATAAAACCCGTAGTGGTGATTAAATACCACCAAAAGAAAGCTCTATCTGTCCCCAAAAAATGGTATAAAATTCATTTCAGTACAGCGTTGCATGACAGAATAAACGTCAGTCAAAGTATCGCAGCGCTGAATACTGAAAAATGGCCTGGCCAGGAAGGGGGTCTAAACACCTGGTCTTGAAGTGGTTAAAGCGCTCTTATGTAAAAGCAAGGGTACAACACATGTTTCTCATATGTCTGTGTGCTGGCAAAAGGAGGGCGTGAAAGCAAAAATTACTGGAACAAGGGGAAATAACGAAAATAAAATAGACTGCATCAGCATATTTTATTCACATCGGCTTATTTCCTAGTAATAAAAACATACACTGACACAACAGTAACTTTTTGTTCTTTAATTATGACTGAATGCGCAAGCAAATTCAATGCTTCTCAAGCAGTAAACCCTAAAACCACACCAAAAAAAGACTGAATTAAAACAAAAATGTAAATATTAACTTACCATCAAATTTGTTGTATCGGGAAGCAAAAATATTCTGCATATTACCACATGGTTCAGTGACAGAGGCCTTGAAGTCATGTTTACTTTGCTGATTGTACTTCTCCTCCATGGCTTGAGAGCAGCATGTGTGCCCCTGTGAGCAGACCTTTAGGTGGTCACCTGGAGAGGAAAACAAGAGAGAGAATTATACTAATGCTAACTGAATTCTTCCATTTAAATGCTCTTTGCCCACCAGGCTAGTCAAAGACCCTCAGTTTGCACCACATAAATCCTACAATTACCATTTACACAATTATTCTTTACTGCACAAAGCCTTTTGCAGAACTTTGATCGTACTCAGCCCTTGTACATACTTAAAAGCGAACTACTTTTTTAAATTTTGTTTTAGATAGAGCAGGCAAAGTTAGAGCCTTTGCCTTCTTGACATCTGTACACCTATTGGGGCGACATCCCCTAACTTCCTGCCGGGACAGGAAATACTTGGAAATCTTTCCAACAGGTACAAAGATAAAAGTAAAAACAATTCTGTTAGAGCGAGGAAGGATTAAAACTTCTGGCATTTATTGTTGTCTGTCTTCCTATCCCTATGACAACTGCTCCCCCCATTCTGGTTTTGGTGTCACAAGAACAGGAAAATATGGGAAAGCTCACCAGAGGAATCACAAACAGATATAACCAACAAGCATTTTTATTTCTCCTCAATCTTCTACAATCTTAAATTAAGTTTTGAATGGAAGAGAGTGGTTTTTAGTATGGTCAGAACTAAAAATGAAAATAAAGAAAAATGTTCATATAAATATATGCCATTTCTTTTTCACTTTTTTCCAGATGAGCCTGTTTACATACCTTACTGGCATATTCTTAACTCTGAGCATAAAGAACAATGAATGACTTTCGAGCTACGTACCTACAATGCAGTACCTAATTAGTAGATTGGTAAACCTACAGTTAAAACAATTTGCAGCTAAGAAACTGTAGCAGTGAAGTGACTCTGGAACTAACAGTCATATCATGTATGAGGCTTTAAATTTTTAAGACAAATTTTGTGGCAATATTTCATTAACAATATCTCACACACCAATTTTGTTTGGACATTATCTTTTTTTTTTTTTCTTTATGTCTTCTACATGGCCAATTACAATAAAAAGTGGCACCAACACCACATAAAAAAAGCACATTCAAGTAGCCCAGGTGTTGAATGTTTGGGCTATACAGGCAGGAGAGAAAGCTGGAAGGGGACATAGTTGGCACCAGCTTATATTGGTGGGCATTTGCACATGAATGTTACACTTGCCCTCTCGATCTCCCACCCTGGCATCCAGGAGCGGCCTACCTAAATATGCTGCCACATGTGAAATTGTTATGGCGCCCAGCAATGATGAGCTTGTGTTATAGTCAGCTTTTTCCTTCTGTAGAAGTCAAAGATATGGCCTGGGATGAATACAGAGGACGTCTCTGACTTCAATACGTTCTCAGTCACTGCTTTGGGACAAGCATGAAGATGAAAAATTCAGCGTGAAGTCGATCTTAAATCTGAATTTTTGTTTCAGATCAAAGACTCAGAGTATGCATGCTACTGGATCAGCAAAACCGCCAGGAAATTAGCATTTGAGGATAAGTCCACAATAGCAGCTTGTAATTTCCTTATTGCAGGTGTACTTTAAATGAAACCAAAATCCCAGCAGATATGAATTGTCAAGGTTATATCACCACAATTACCATTCTTAACATATTCTTGAAGGAAAGTGTTTTATCTACACACTAAATGAAACTAAATGCAAAAACTGTTCAGTGCGACGAAGATTTGTTGTTTGGTTAGGGCAATGGTTCATTAAATAAAACAGCAAACTCATTTTTTCAGCCCTTTTGGTTAGAGGACAAATTCAGAAAACCTCACTCAGCTGTTCTTACAACTATGAACACAAGCGATTCTTTGATAGTCCAGATTTGCAGCACACAAAAGAGACCATACTGAATTTGCCCTTTTTAAAATTAGAAATGCATGCAATTTACTACTGGGTAACTTATTACGGTTTCATACATATATTGTCCGATTGGTCACTTCAGCATGCAGGAAACTCTGTTTAGTCACTCACCCAACAATCCAAATTGTAACTTTTCAAATTAGGGCTTCAAATCATGAGAATGAACAAATCTCATCACTTTCAACAGTTTGGGAACAGTATGGACTAAAAACTTCATCTAGTTTAACCCTTTCGCTGCCAAGGACGTATGGCATACAGACCTACAAAAGTGCTTCCAGCTGGCCAGCTCAGTATGCCATACGGCCCTGGCATTTACAGTTCTACTATAAGCTGATGGTCGCTAAAGCGACCATCAGCTTATAGTAGAACTGTTCAGCAGACTGTCCCCTTTAAATTAATAGCTGTCATCAGCGGCTCACAAGCCGCTGATGACTGCTATTATCAAAAATACCGGGCGCCCCCCCCCCCCCCCGCCGGCATCTGGAGTCTCTCATCCCTCCCTGGGATGGCTCCAGGGAGGGATGAGAGACTCCAGATGCCGGCGGGGGGGGGGGGGGGCGCCCGGTATTTTTGATAATAGCAGTCATCAGCGGCTTGTGAGCCGCTGATGACAGCTATTAATTTAAAGGGGACAGTCTGCTGAACAGTTCTACTATAAGCTGATGGTCGCTAAAGCGACCATCAGCTTATAGTAGAACTGTTCAGCAGACTGTCCCCTTTAAATTAATAGCTGTCATCAGCGGCTCACAAGCCGCTGATGACTGCTATTATCAAAAATACCGGGCGCCCCCCCCCCCCCCCGCCGGCATCTGGAGTCTCTCATCCCTCCCTGGGATGGCTCCAGGGAGGGATGAGAGACTCCAGATGCCGGCGGGGGGGGGGGGGGGCGCCCGGTATTTTTGATAATAGCAGTCATCAGCGGCTTGTGAGCCGCTGATGACAGCTATTAATTTAAAGGGGACAGTCTGCTGAACAGTTCTACTATAAGCTGATGGTCGCTAAAGCGACCATCAGCTTATAGTAGAACTGTTCAGCAGACTGTCCCCTTTAAATTAATAGCTGTCATCAGCGGCTCACAAGCCGCTGATGACTGCTATTATCAAAAATACCGGGCGCCCCCCCCCCCCCCCGCCGGCATCTGGAGTCTCTCATCCCTCCCTGGGATGGCTCCAGGGAGGGATGAGAGACTCCAGATGCCGGCGGGGGGGGGGGGGGGCGCCCGGTATTTTTGATAATAGCAGTCATCAGCGGCTTGTGAGCCGCTGATGACAGCTATTAATTTAAAGGGGACAGTCTGCTGAACAGTTCTACTATAAGCTGATGGTCGCTAAAGCGACCATCAGCTTATAGTAGAACTGTTCAGCAGACTGTCCCCTTTAAATTAATAGCTGTCATCAGCGGCTCACAAGCCGCTGATGACTGCTATTATCAAAAATACCGGGCGCCCCCCCCCCCCCCCGCCGGCATCTGGAGTCTCTCATCCCTCCCTGGGATGGCTCCAGGGAGGGATGAGAGACTCCAGATGCCGGCGGGGGGGGGGGGGGGCGCCCGGTATTTTTGATAATAGCAGTCATCAGCGGCTTGTGAGCCGCTGATGACAGCTATTAATTTAAAGGGGACAGTCTGCTGAACAGTTCTACTATAAGCTGATGGTCGCTAAAGCGACCATCAGCTTATAGTAGAACTGTAAATGCCAGGGCCGTATGGCATACTGAGCTGGCCAGCTGGAAGCACTTTTGTAGGTCTGTATGCCATACGTCCTTGGCAGCGAAAGGGTTAAATAATTTCATGACAATGGGTAACAGACATCCCCAGGCAATCATTGTCAGGGAAACTAGTGCTTAGATATTTATATAGCGCCAACAGTTTGCGCAGCGCTTTACAATACAAGGAAGATATTACAGTTACAATACAATTCAAAACAAGATGGTTAAGAGGGCCCTGCCCTGAGAGCTTCCGATCTAAAAGGGAACAATTTATGTTTAGAATCCCTCCAGTAGAATAGAGTACCAGAGAAAAGACCTGCTTCCACTTCTATAGAGAGTTATGAATCTCTTTTTAACCCTATTTAAGTGAATCCAAAAACCTCAACCAGCCCTGAAACAGAGCAGGGTAAATTTATTCATGTAAAATAAACATAATGGAAACAGACACCCAATCTCGAGGTCATGTCAGGCTCCATGAACACTGCTGCCTCTGGTAATGTGGAATGATTTAGAGCAAGAAGAACTCTATGAACAATGATATCAACATGCTTCCCAGCATATGGATGACCACAAGTACAAACCCAAAATGACAATGATCTCCAATTATCAAATGCTGCAGTCTCTGAAATCCTCACAGCCTTCTAACCACATCCAGTAAGGTGGTGGCAGACATATAAGTGTCATACACACACATGAAAATTTCACATAGGGTTTTACTTAACTGGAAAGGACTGCATCACTGTTGCTGCAGCTTTCTTCATCAATAATATGGAGGGAAACGGGGGAGACCTTGGCTGCCTTTACCACACCACCTTCTCTAAGGCTGGGTTCACACCTAGGCGTATTACGTATGCACGTCTGTCGCGCGACCGTAACGCGTTTTTTTACCGCGATCCACGGTAAAAGAATCGCGCGACCGTCGCGCGATTCCGAAGGCTTCTTGGCTGTATCCCAATGGAAAACGCCCTCCAAAACGGCCCAAAGAAGTACATGTACTTGTTTGGGCGTCAGCCGTTTTGTAGGGCGTTCAGACGGGCGGAAATACGGAAAGGTGTGAACCATACCCATAGAAAACAATGGGATTTTCATGGTTGTACGTTTTATAGAGCGTTCATAGAGCGTTGAACGCCCGACAAAACGGAAAGGTGTGAACGGGGCCTAAGATAAGAGTGCTAATATCTGAGAAGTAATGTTTGATACATCTTAAAAAGTTTTAATTGCAAATGTTTTACTAACATTTAGATTTTTTGAAATAGGTTTGTTACAGTCACAGAAATTACATATAGGCATACATATTTTTTCCCTATAATGCTTTGGGCAGTCTTATTTAATGGACAGTCCAACACTGAGGTTAGCCGGTATACATTATGTAAAGTAGGGCTGCACTGATACCGGTTTCGAGAACAAGTACCGATATTTTTTTCCAGTACTCTCAGATACGGAAAGTCCCATTAAGGAAGCCAGGTGG